ACAAAGGATGACCACCAAGATGGTCAAGGGATTCCAATACCTGTCATACGAGGACAGATTTTGACGTATCAAATACTGAAGAACCCAAACCATCCGTGTCGATCGCTTCTCATGTTATTGAACAATGTACACCTAAGGGGACACCGTTTCATTCCAAAGTCTCGACTGGATTGCCGGCGCCAGTCTTTTGCTGTCAGAGTATGCAAATCTTGGAATGCCCTTCCATCTCATGTCGTTTGTGCACCCACTATTGAATCTTTCAAGCAGAGACTCGATGAAATCTTGGCACACCTCACATTCGTGCACTAAAGGCAAACGGAAATTCACTGTAGCCTACATTCTCATATTGCGATAATAATAAAACTTTGACTTTGAGCAGTTATTAAAGAACAATGTGATACGGAAAGTGGTGAAGAAAGTGGAGAAATTACCGACTAACTTTTGCATGTCAACAGCGACAGTAAATACGTATAAAACAACGGTTAATCACAAAATTGGCAATGCTCACCTCCCAGAATCCAAAAATGAGTGTTTTCCGTGGCGCTACTTGGAACGGTGTGATGAACACAAGATTGATGAGAAGACCAAGGGCCACCGGTAGTAACACGAGCAACAACAAGGCCAGACAAAACAATTGCGAAGCTTGCAAAACCAGACGACAGACAATGCACAAACGTTCGTTGCATGCGCGAACTAGATCATATGTGCTGGAACCGAAAGTTGCAGTATTGGGGCCTGATGAAGACCCGGCAGTAGTTCGTATGGGAGCGGGTAATGCCGGACGAGGGATGGCGATCTCGCACGTGGTTCCGGAGCGAGTCCAAATACGAAGGACATGTAAACGTCTGGACCAGCAAAACAGGCGACTAGACCAGAGCACAAACGCGGACAGCGATTGACGAAGAGAACGCAAAACGTCGGGCACACTGTATATGTTGGACAACAGAGAGAGGAGCAGGAAAATGCTTATTATTCTTGGAAAACAACCAAGACTCATTGTCCAGAGCGCATACAATGTACAAATCAAGCCGGACAGAGCGAGATGAATTGACCAGTAAAAGTTATCGATCAAATAGAGCAGCAGCGGACGACGGAAATTACGAACATTATGGTAGTGATGCACAATTCCCGTGGAAGTGAAATTCGCAACCATCGAAAAGAATCCACGGGCATTGAGAATTTCAGTAGACTAAGGAACGAAAGAAATTGAGACGACGCACGAACGTCATTGTTACCGACACTCAAACATATGTATTACTTAATGTCTCTAACCACCGGTTACGATCGTCCCGAAGTCCCCATCCAGGGAGCCTAACGAGAACAATGTGATCGAGTCCTCTGGTTAGGGCTTTCGTATGCTCTTACCACGTTCTAGTTTGACTACCCTTTGCTTTACTTCATCCACCATCTACCTCGGCAAGCACGGCGCACCGTGGCAATCTAGTTGATGACAGGCCCCAAAGAGCATAACTACCACGGCTCAGGTATAACGTACGCATAGATTCACATCTAAGTCAATCAAATCATTCCAGCAGGGTGAGTTGCGCAACCTCGACTTCGTAAACAGAGAATCTATGGTCGCAACCGGAAACCACAGTATATATATATATATATATATATATATAATGAGATGAGAGGAGTGTACTCACAGCATCTTCATCAGCTGTTTGATGGGTTCGGATAATACGAACTGAACTAATGAAGTTCTCGTCGGTCCCGTGCACAATCCTTCCGAATACCTGACTGCATTAATCCCAGAACTGAAGTGATCACCGAGGGGAATCATACGGTAATCAGTAAGATTTCCCCCAACCCAAGACGCAACAAGTCTTTGCGTAGTGTCATCTCTTTTTGCAACTGTGAGGATCTATGAACATTCGAGTCGGTTGTGGTAGAATGAAGGCGGTTTCAATAACCCCAAAATAATTCTTCTTTGAGAATAAGAAAAAAAACAGTCAAACTGGTCAAGTCCGAAATTGTCTCATTGGATTTTCTGAAAATTATCGAGCGAGTTGACAACGGGACATTCGTTCATACTCACCGATCGCAAATTATTGTGTGAACTGAACTAACGGCTATAAAACCAAGTAGGCCAACTAATTCACATCATTTGATCATGAGAACACAACGTACTAAGCAGGTTTCTGCCCAGTACTTCAACAAACGACTATGCAGCGCACGTTTTATGGTGAATAAGCGATGGAAATACCGGTGATGACATTGGATTAAGACACTACGCGAAACGGGTATCAAAAGTGCATGGGAGAGAGATAGTGAGTGAGCGACGGAGGGTTATCGTGACCAACAAACACCATAAAATTGTAAGCGAACAGTTGCCGAAAATCTTTAGTTCTCATAGTTTGAAACAAGAGATTCTTTGCTGAACTTCGATGGGATGTATAATGAAAACCAACTCAGTCGAGCAACTATTTCTGCGGCAATGAGACCACCGACAAAGCTGTATGAATCAATGGAGTATATTGGACATAAAACGATAGTGAAATGATACTACGGATGTCAAATGATGACATCACCGAATTTCATAGGAAAGGTAAACAAAGACCGCACTCTCTCACACACTGTAGTTATGGCGATCATTTTTCAGGATACATATAATAGTAATTGCCTAACCAAAAGTATATTTTTTCAGTTATACAAACCGAATATCTAGGAACTAGGATAAAAAAAGTAAAGATTCGCACCTAATAAATTGTTCACGTGATTGTGTTACGAAGGTGCTAGTGGAAGGGTTCTAGCCTAGGATCGCGGTGAAAGCGACTTAAACACTGCGACAATACAAAACCGCACAATCAAGTGGCTACGATTGGAACAGAGAGAACTTACTATGAGGCCACACGCAACATAACACCCAAAAGTGTGAATCCGGCTACCAAAGCCACAGCATCGTGTTTCTGTGTGTTCTTCGAACTGATCAGGCTGAATGCGAAACGTCCCAGACCAACTGGGATCACGAGAAGACTGGTGCTAAGCAGCATCAAGCTAATCAGAACACACACCAAGAACCCACACAACCGTATGGTGAAAAAGCTTGTTCGTTTGTACGGTACGAATCGTGTGAAATCTTCTTCATCCGCATCCTCGTCCATGTGTGGTGGTGGTGGTGGTTCATTCGCTTGAGGTTGATGCTCAGATCCAGATCGGACTTGCGGTTGCGATAGAGGGATGGCTGCCGTTCCTTGCGAGGGACCAGATGTAGATTGAGGTTCACGGGCCCGGGGTTGGCCGGACTCGGATGTGGTCGGTTCTCCGTCTTCTGTGGGACTACGTGTTCCGGGTGGGGTGTATGCCACCTCCTGACCATTCTCATTAACCACCGAGTCCTGCAAAACAGTGAGAAGACGGAAAAAAAGATAGAGTATGGTGTTGGCATGTATAAGGGTAATCAGCTTCGATTTCAACCACAAAGCAGAAAACGAACGCACACTGGGATGATGACAACCGTTCTAAATTGTCCCCATTCAGTCAAACCAGGAAGTCATTCATTTTTCTTTTTTATAACAGTGAAAAGGAGAAACCGTATATCCCAAGGATATACTGTACACAGGGACAGCGAAATGAACTGTTAAGCGAGAACCATCGTTGACTTTACTTTCAAAGGCAACGAAAATGAAAAGCAGGGGATCAACTGGTGATTTTTTCACGATCCCTTAAACTTTTGTCTCGCTACAGTGGAGTTGATAAAAATGTTTTAGTTGATTTCTCTATTTCCAAGCATCTTGACACTAGTGATACATTCATTGACAGGATAACGC